AAGGTCATGGATGGTCTAATTCTATCCCTTCCTTGTTGAAAAATCAGATAGTCCCTGGTCTGGGTCCCATCCTTCTTCTTGACTAATACGACAGGAGCTGGGACATTTCCTCGTCAAAAGTTGTTGCAAATACGATGACATCGTCCAGGTACACTAGGGATATCCTCCATTGTAGGCCTTCCAATACTCGTTCCATCAGCCTCTCAAATGTTGCTGGAGCATTACTGAGCCCGAATGGCATCACTCGGTATTGCCAAAGACCTTGGCCACAGCTAAATGCTGTCTTGGGTCTATCTGCTTCAACCATTTTTACATGATGGAAACCTGACTTTAAGTCCAGAGTTGAAAACCACCTGGGTCCACTTAGGGCATAAAGAGTATCATCAATTCTTGGCAGTGGGTATGAGTCTTTTTCGGTTATGCTGTTAAGAGCCCTGAAGTTCACACAGCAACGACAAGAGATAGAGAAGGTCATGGATGGTCTAATCAAGGAAGGGATAGTTGAAAAAGACAGGAGCTGACCAGGGACTATCTGAGTATTAGTCCCTTCCTTAAAAAAATCTAACCTATCCTTGCCTTCAATGATGCAAACTTATGCCACTTACGAGTTGGCACTTTGTACAGGCGTACAAACCGCGCTAAACTTGTTATGACATTGAGGACCTCATCAGTTCCTGTTTATACGGTGCTTATTGTTTACCTGTTGGATATTAATGAATTGATCACCAAAGCTATTAATTGCGTGTTAAAATGTTCCCATAACCCATGTAATTATTTTTCTATTTTCTAATAGTATTAGCTGCAACGTCTTTTAATTATTCACCAAACAATATGATAAAGTGTATTTTTTGGTTGCTTTTTGAATAGAAACACCAATAGATGGCACATATTACTGAAACTATGGCAGAAGGAGCAGCTGATGTGATTAATTTACCTCCTGAGTTACTTCTGAATATTTTTGCGTTTTTGGATTATAAAGATCTCATTTGGTAGGATGTATAAATAGAAAATAAGTTTTTCATATCTGTAGTATAAAGCGGCCTAGACTTAACTATGATACTTATAAAATATTAATTATTAGCTAGCATTTAAATTTAAAGACATAAAAATGTTCATTCAGTTCACTCGCACTGTGTTTGTTGTAACTGTGTAAGCGTGAACTTGTAGTTTTAATTTTAATTTAACCCATCTATTTGGCGAGGTATACTTTTGTTTACGATTTGACAGTGTATTAGTATCAGCTTGTAAAAAATGTAGTTATCCTGATATTCGGTCTGCAATTTTATTATTTTTAATTTTCATGAACTTGAGTATGGAACTTAGAAGCAAATTATGTTAATATAATAACGAATTGGCAAACAACGATTTATAAGCATAAAAAAATAAATAAAGAATTGGAAATTTAAAAACCTGCAAATAGGGATCATAAAAAGTAAGGAAACAAGGCTGGAGATACTGTAGACTATTTACTCAAATTACAAACCCCTGTTTTGTCTCCATGCTGTTAGTGTTACCTAGAATTGCATCTGATGGAGTCAAAATAGTTTGAGTAAATAATGTCTACAGTATCTCCAGCCTTGTTTGCAGGCTTTTAAATTCCTAATTTTTTTATTTACCTTGTTTGCTGGCATTTTTTTATGCTCAACTATTACTTGATATGGTAACTAACGTTATACATTGTAATAATAATAAACATGGCTAGTAGCTAGCTTATACAGTTCATGATGATTTATTGTAGTTTTTGACTATTTGATTGCATTAGTTTGAGGGGTAAAATGTTAAACTGCAGCTGGAGATTTGTTTGAGAATATAGTGAGCATGTATAGTTTATACTCTATATCTAATGCATAGCAATGGCCAAATATATACATAGACACTAAGCACATATAAAATTTTACCAGTAGAAAAGCAGCATTTTCAATAAAACACACATCTAAAACAAGGCTTTAAATAAACCTTCATGTCTTTTAAAGTAATAATTCTATGAATGTGTGTAATAAAATTTAATATTGTGTATTGATTTTTTTTTACTCCTTCACTTCATATATAATATAGGGGTTAGTTCCCTAAAGACACCAATTGTATGGTGTATAAAGCATTGAATATGTGCATGCTACAGTCATCTAATGTTCTATTAGTGGGTGGTAATTCCTGTTTCACTTCACCCTGTACTTTAGCTTCTTAAAGGCACACCAGAAATATGAAAGAAAGATAACTTCAAGGGGTAATGATAACATCATTTACATTAGAATTATGTTGTTTTTTTGGTTATGTAAAATATAGAAGAAACAAATTGACTTTTTAATACCCCTACAACCTTTGCAGTACTTTATTTAGGATTTTACAAAAGGTTTGGGTGCAATATCCTTTTGTTGTAGGCTGACAAGAGAATATTAAAAATAAGAATTACAAATGAGCTGTTTTGAACAGATTTTCTTTTTCATGCAAGTCTAACATGCATGCTTTTTTATGCATTGTTATATGTGTATAGTTTTAGCAGTCAATAGTAAAGGTTTTAAGTGTTGTTTTAACTGAATTTTTACTGTTTAAGGTGCTTTTTGCCCAAATGTTCTATTAGGGTTTTGTGCAATTCCATGCAATCCCTATTATGAACTACTATCATGGTTCATGATGAAGTGATTTATGTTAATTGTTCTTAGTTTCAATTCTAGTAGCTTCATGTTGATAAAAAAACATATGATTTTGTTCATTAGAAAATACCATTTTTACTAGGTTTTGAATAGGAAAGATGGTAAGATTTTATTGGGTCATCAGAGTACATTTATTGCTAACTGTTATCTTATCCTTCTCATATTCTTTTTGTTTTATGTTTGTACTGTAATAAGTACTGATTTTGGCATTTTGACGTAATAATGTATTTTTATGTGAACTGATACAAATTTCCACATGAACAATTCTTGGTAAAATTCCATGTCTTTTTTGCTAAATATCAACTTGTGTTTGAAAATGATGCCATATCAATTCCAGTATATCAAAACAAGATTTAAAGTTCAAAAGTCACTCAGCAAGTTAAAATGTTGCCTATCAGACCTACTCCTCCAGTAATTATTCCTCAGGAGCTTTCTGATTATATAAGTTATAGTCACTGATCACCATATATTCAATTTATGTTGATTTTGTTTTAATTAATTGACATTTTTCAGCTGTAGTAAACTTAACAAGAAGTTTCATGATTTGTCCAGTCACAATTGTCTATGGAAACCATTATGCAAGAAGTACTGGCTACTTACTCAGTAAGTGATTGTTTATTGCTTGTATTTCAGCTGTATTGTAAATCAAACTTTCTTCTTTGGAAAACTCTTCTTCAGAAGGTATATATAAAGAAAAAGCAATAGTATAGTCAGAAACAGCTTGATAAATATATAACTGACTTAACCATGGAGTTGTAGCAAAGAAAATTAGCATGACATGTATATATACATATGCTATATGCAACTGAGAGCAGTTCCATATATATATATATATATGTATGTCCTGCCCATATATAGGATTAATATAGATCAATGCAAAAATGTTTCAAATTACTAGTTTACAGATATTAGTCAGTAGAAGTACAATTTTTGTTAACCTATCAATATACAATACAAATATACTGTAAATTCTTTATATATGTAATTAAGGTAAATAGAATGAAAATCAAAATATTGGTTCCAATTTTGTATGTACATAAACTGATTGAATGACAAAAAATGCTGCAGAGTTCTGAAATTTTATAAATTATTGCTCTTTTCCAAAAATAATTAGTGCTACTATAGCATGCGATCTACAAAGATATTTACACTCTAGCGTGTGGTATACACAGATACTCTCATCATCATCATTTTAATGATTCACTTAAACATAATATCTTGTTAAATAATTTATATCTATCCACGTTTACGTTCAGCAAATAATAATAATATGTTAAGGTGTGTGTGTGTGTTACAAAAGAGTACCTTAAAGTTAGGTTATAATTTGGAATATATTTCATTCCGAATACATTTGCCCCCAAACCATTATGTAAGGGTATTTTGTACTTTATTAGTTTAAAAGCATTACTTATAATAAATGGTGCCAATTGCAAATAAACAAAAGTTAAAAGGGTGATGATGATGATGATAGTATCTGTGTAGACTGCATGCTATAGTGTAAATATCTTTGTAGGCTGCACACTATAATAGCTCCAACTAATTTGTGTTGGTTATTTGTAAAATTGTTGATGTCTTCAGTATTTTTTACATCCATTGTTGTTTCTCTGAAATCAGGATTAAGGCCACCTGGAGGTTTATCTGTTTTAATAACTCGCACCACTATACAGTAGTGTGTTGTCTGTCAGTCAGTCAGTAGAAACTAAAATGACATTCTATAAGGGATGCTTAATTTTGAAACTTGTGCTATCATGACATCAGTAAAACATGCACATGCCATGAATCACGGGAATTATGCACCCTGTAGGCTACAACACAGCATGACATATGAAGTTTAAAAGCAAGAAATAAAAATATTTGTTGCTTTTAATTTTGGTTTTATTTACTCTTGAAACAGAACACTTTTAGGTTCCCTGTGGAAGTACATCTAGTTTTAATAGTTATGTAAATGAGTAAATATTTATTGAGGAATAGTAATGTATATAAACAGACTGGAAGGTTCTATGCATGTTTTTAACTAAATAAAATTTAATAATTGTATTAATCCTTATTCCCTTTCAAATTTGCTTGTTATGTACACTGAAAAGTGTTTTAACTCAGTTTATGACAATATTGAGTGTAAACTGATTTGGAGTAAGTGGTTGTACCTGAAGAACCTGTGAAGGCTAGATGTTGAGTAAATTGAAACTTTTTTGGTGGTGTTAATAGCTGTTTAATCAAACTAAACTTAAATTAGAGGAAATAAATTTCCTTTTTTGAGAATATTTGTAAATTACAGTACGTTTTAAATACAAGTATTTCCTTAAAATTGTATAAAGCAAGTCAATTATGTTTTGATTAGTTTCATAGAACAAGTTGTAGGTTTTAATAAGTGTCATTCAATAAATTATATTCCATCTTTCAGGTTGTGACAATAAACCAGTTGGATATTTATTTTTCATAAAGTTATTGTTTTTTGACTTGTTTTTAAGATGTACACCTGGCATGAGCTGGAAAAACCAATTTTGCCACTGGTATCAAGAATGGGGATGTTATATTTATTGTTATTGTACAATAAAAGGTGCCTGGGACAAAATAATGAACTTTATGGTTGTGAATTGCCCTACAATCTATTCTTCAGTCAAAGGTAAGTACTCAAAATATAAAGGTGTTACTCCAACTATTCTTAGGCATTATAAATTAATAACATTCAAACTAACATCTTGTAAATATAAGAAAATTCACAATTGATAATGAATTATTCACAAGTTATTTTAGAAAAATTCATTGTACCTATGTATATAAACTGATGTTTTTGTTAATTTAAACATGAAAAAATTAGAAATGTGATAATGATAAAAGGCTCTATTGTTTTTATAAGCTCTTTATCCATTGTGCATTGTAAAATGCATAACCACCCAATGTTTTAGTAGGAAACTGTCTATAGACTTTCAAAAATTCAAGAGTTTAACAAAAAAAACACTAAATTTATATTTTTTTATGATATTTTGCTTAAAGGAGGTAAGGCTTGTTTCAAGTTCTTATTCTGTAACTTTTACTCACAAAAATGTTTATAATCAAATCTTGAATTTACATTGATACAATTGTCCTTTTAAGTAGATTTTTCATCGATATATACACATTTATATTAATTGTTAACCCACACATTTTAGTTTATTACTTCACCTGAAGGGAGATTAATGCTATCTGTGTACTTAATATTTCACGTTCTGAACAGTTTACAGTACCTAAAGGAAAGAAATCAGCTCTTAGAAAAACAAAAAAAAACAAGCTCATTGTTCAAATCTACAAGTAAACTAGTAATAGTTTGCATTGTTTTCAAATGAGTTTTTTGGTTTTCAGAGCCATACATGATTAAACTTAGTTCTTTTAGTCAAATGATATGTCACATTTATGAACATTTTCTGTTTCACACAGTATGTCAGCAACTTTGTAATAGGTTTCACCAGAAAATGTACAGCTTTAGCACTGTGACATTTCTTAGCATTTTGAATAATGCATTTTTACTTTCTAGTATAAATGTTTCGGCAACCAAATATTTAAACACTTCAAAAGAAGCTCAAAAGTTAAACAAAAGGTATAGAGGGAAATATTTCAGTTAAGAATTTTACTTTGTTGATTTGTTAACAAAAAAACTCGGTATATACAATTGTAAGTAACTCTTTTGCTTGGACATGCCAGAAAATTGATTTTATAATCATAACTTCTGCTTATAGTCCAGAACCCAAGTCCAATTTTTCCAATTCTTGGTCCAGTTCTGGCAACTGTTGTTTGAAACTTGATTCACAAATTAAATCCCATATCTTCATCATATTTGGTGGATGCCAGAAAGATACTCGTATAACTAGTTAGATATTGCATATTTTTGAAGTTCGGTCATTGCATGTCAAAATTAAAGAAAAGGGGACTTAGAAAAGAAATTTAGTCTAAGTAAAGGGTAGATTCAATGCTGTCTTTTTTTTTTTTAAGTAGAATTATTCACACATATATTTATATATATGATAATTTGGACAGTTTGGATTGACTTTGGTGTTATAATAGTATTCTCAAGTGTGAAGTGAGTAAAATCTTGCAAAATTATCTACTTCAAATTTTATATTATTACTACGTTTTCAAGTATACTGGTACTACTTGCATACTAAAACAAAATAATTCATTTTCATTTCTATTCATTGTGGTAAAATAAAGCTGCTACCCATCAAAATAAGCTGTGTTTTTTCTTAAAATAAGAGTATTATGGAATGTCTTGCACTAAAGTAAATAAATGATATAATATTAACATTAAATATATAATAAGTTTAATATATCACCACAATAAATAGATATAAGGTATAAGCTACAGTTTGGAACAATGCAGGACTAGATCAGGGTGTACTTATACACTGTAATAACAGCTTGCACTTATATCTTTAGCTAGGCCTAACTTGCACGTATCAACAAATCTCATTCAAGAAACAAATTTACTTTCATCTTTCCTCTTTTCTGTTCTACATATTTCAGTAGTAATTTGTTCATCACAGCTAAGATGTTGCATGGATATGCCACAGTAAACAATGTATAAACGATTTGCCTGTAAATTAAGCACTATACTTTGAGGGAAGAATTCAATAAAATATATGTTAACTACACAGTAGCAGTAGTAGGTGATGGGAAAAACAAAGCAAAATAATGTATTACAGATAGAAATCACTAAGGAACAATAGAAGTGCCCTTTTGATATTCAAAGTTATACTTATCACCAAGGAACAATAGAAGCACCCTTTTTATATTCACAGTTACCTTTCTTCATTACAAAAATGGTTTGGATTTATGTTGTAGAAAGGCAACTCTTGAAGAATTTTCTGATAACTGGATGATCAGACCCAAGCCATCTCTTTCGTGGCTTTTCATGACTGTCCCATTCGGTTTTGTAAACTTCCATGTTCAATGCTTAAATAACCTTTTATGTTAAAGCATTTATGTGATGCAAGCTATATCTAACTTGAATGACATATTAACACATCAGGATCTATTACTTAATCGTAAATTGTCTTCACGAAAGTAATGAGGCTCCTGTACACAAATTTGAATCTTAAGAAAAAGACAGTTATGTTAGCAAGTTCTGGAACTCTATGATTGTTTCATACAAAAATTTTTGTAGAAAAGTTCCTTTTTTAAAAAAATTTAATGCAGATGCCAAACCATGTGACCCATGGTCTTCATTTTCTCTGTGGCATAGCCTCCTATTTGCCTTTATAACTCTGAAGTTTCATGAGTTTATGTCTTACAGTATAGATTTCATGAACATTTGAAAATCTGTTGAAATAAAATGATAATATACTGAACAATAATGTCTAGCTTTGGGATCATCCTTTGCCAGATACTAATTTTTATCTTCACTTAAACTATCTGTATGTTCCTCAATTAGAGATCTCAAAGCTACTACCATGTTACTACCGTTGTCTGTAAAAATACTTAAAATTTTCTCCTGTGGGTTCTCCCATGAAACCAAACAGTTATTAAGATGTTCTTTTATTGCAGTATGAGAATGGACAATCTGAATGAGAAAAAGCATGGAATGTTTGAATTCATTGTCATTTGTGCATAAAAACAAGCACTGACTACTTGGAATGAAGCTGTCATATGCCTTTTTGTCGATATATCAAACTTGATGAGCATCAGGTGCTGCTCTTTTCACATGCTTTTTTTCCTTGTTATATAACTTATCTTCAATTCTGCATATCTTTGTACCACAAATTTTTTGTCAATAACTTGGCAATAATTTCTGAAATCTTCTCCTTCAACTGCTCTTGATGGCAAGCCAGCCCTAGCAATCCATTTTGCAAGAGCATTTTTCCCTGGAAAGTTATTCCTTTGAATCTAGGTTGTACTGTGTTAAAAACACAAATGAAGATAGAATAATGGACTGTTTTTGCTTTTCTTCATTAAGATAAATTCTGTTCACTTCATTAATTATCTGAAAATAAATAAACGTACATAAATATATACATATATTGTATAAAAAATGAAAAACCTACAAGAAAACATGTAGTGTTTTATTATTTGGTTTTGATAAATTTGTAAACTTAGGCCCTGGCTTCTATTTGTTCATTTTTCCTTAGTCTTCCTTGCTGTGTTGAGTTTAACTGTTTCAGTTTTGTACTTTTAGTAACTTTTGGGATAAAGTTTATAATGGCATGTTCTTCCTTCTTTTGATTTCTGTTGTTGTCCATCTATTTTGACTGTAAAATATACAGTATAAATATGGTGCTGCATTGATTGTAAATTAAACACTACCATTATCATATTTTTCCACTGTGAGTCTTTATTATACTTTGGTTTAAAAAAAAAGGTTGTTATTTGTGATTTGGGTAATAGGATATGTGTAGACAATGCAATATTATGCAGAATTCTTTCACTGGACTTCATAACCCCATGTAGTTATTTAGAATGTGAGTAAATTCAATTTATTCTGTGTGGATACATTCTTTCACTGTATAAAATGTGCCATGAAGTATCAACAAACAATTTACTTAATGTTAATCAGAAATACTTCAGTATATTACCTTCACAAGTCTACTTGACATATTCATATGTAATATTAATGTAAGAATATGGAATTAAAATACAATTTCCAAAAACAAATAGTTCCCATTCATCAAACCATATATTGAGGAACTGTTTTATGTTGCATTTTCATTGTTTTCTATTTCCAAGGTTTTGAGGTAACATGATGATGCTCATAGTCATTATTGATAAAAACATCTTGCTGATGATCTCTCTTGCCAGTGAAATTAATTCTGTACTGAAATAGGTTAATTATCAAGATTTGGTAGGAGACATTTTGTCAAATTATCATTACTTTGGATGTCTGTGGCTACCCTTACTCTGCTGATACCTTCAGCAGTACTGCTTCATACATTTTAACTGCCTTTTCTTTTACCCTGCCAAAACACACATTTTGTCCAGTTTGTTGGATCCCTAGCTTTCTTTGCAGGAGGAAGCTGTCTAACTGCTGAGAGTTCTTCCATACCAGATGAAACTCAACTGGCTATACTTCTAAGGAAAAGTACTTACCATTTGAAGAATGGGCCTAGGCCACTTTTCACAGTGACATCCAATATCACAGTCTGCATAAGATAGTAAAAAAGTAAGGTTACAAAACTAAATGTTTTAGAACATATATGTGATCAGTGATAAATGAAAATATTAGATTAAAATCACATTCAGAAAAGTTGTATAATTACAGTTTCAAAAGAAAAGACAAATGTGACTTAGGCCTACTTTTATGGTGTCTGTACCACACTTAATCCTACCCCTCTTCTTAGTGTCTGGTAAAAGTGTTTTCCTCTATCAAGAATGTATGTCAAAAAAAGTTGCCAGTAATAGACCACAAACTCAATTTCTAGACCCTTATTCCAGAATGACTTATCTGACAACCTAACTAATCAATAAAAAGTACACAAAAAAAGCTTGCATTTAGCCTTGTGAATGGGCTGATATACAAATTATGTGGGCCATTAAAACTATTTGTCTTGGGTGTGAGTGAACAAATTACCAACTGTTCATTGGGAAGTTCTTCACCTGTGGAAGACATGATAATGGTATAATTCATTTAAAATATTTTGTTAATTGGTGAATTTTTATTACTCACTGTTAAATGAATTTAGTTTCAAAAATATGGTACTTTGTCATTGTGAAGTGTACTGTCAGGGTTTTGGAGTCTTAGGTGCAGTAGATCTCACAAACATCTACAGTTGTTTTGGAAAAGACGTTTATTATTTAATATAACCTTTATTAATCGTGGGTGCACAATTTGGTTTGTAAGTTTTGTTTAAGTTTTATGTTCCAAATTATTGTTGTTTTTTCTTTTGAAATTAGATGGAATCACTGAACAAGAGGTAAGAGACATAGAAGAAAATGTATGTATAAAACTACCAAAGGATTTGAAATGTTCATATAGGATACATAATGGACAAAAGCTTAATGCACCAGGGTATGTCAAGTCATGTCTAAACAAATCTATAATTTAATAAGCTTTATATATCTGTAACTTTCAAAATAATGCATTAGTGGAACTTCTTTTTAACATGATGTGGTCTAGATCCTTGAAACTATTTAACAAAGAATTATTAATTACTGTTATTAGTGTTTTAGTTCAAATTAGAACTTTTGTAATATCTAATGTAGTCATGACACCAAAATCAGCCAGATAAGTAAACTAAGGTTCTGCAGTGGATTGTTAAGCTTCTATTTACTTAAATTATTACAATGTGAAAGTTATTATCTTGATGTGTATTTATTGACAACTTTTGTTTCTGAAATAAATACTCACCTCTTCACACAGAATAGCTTCTTTTTTCTTGAATTCTTGCCATAGACCTTTGCAAGCCACCAGTCTTGTGAACACTCCCACCTAATCTCATGTGAAACCACATGAATTTGTGTTAGTGCATAATGACATCATCATGAAACAGAACCCTTCACCAATAGGAGTTTGACACACCTCGATGCACAATGACTCCCTTCACATTCTTGCTCATGAATCTTCATTCTTTTCGTCAGCACTGTTGTGCACTGGCGTATTTTGTGTTTGCTGAGATTTGTGACTTTTGTTTCATTTTCAAATTTCATTTGATTGAGTTTAAATGTACTCAATATGAATTCATGATTTAATGTGAGTTCTTCTTCTGCTGGTGTGAGTGAACAAATCACCAACAATTCAGTGGAAAGTTCTTTACCTGTGGAAGACATGATAGCCATTGTCCATTGTGTGGTGATGTCCATTATGCAGCCAGGACCCCCTGCTTCTATCCCTTCCCCTTCTTTTGAGCCTGAAGTTGAGAAGGACGAATTTGAGCACCTTTTTCCACCTTCTGGGTTTGCTTTGGGAATGCCTTTACCTACTGGAAATTGTTCTCAGTCTTCCTTGGATTTCCAAAACCTCATTACTAGGGTATGTACAGTTCTTTCTCTCACTCCCACATCCTTTGACTCTTCCTGTTCTCTATTACATAACCCTTATCATTGCAATTTCATTGTTTTCTTCCCTCCCCAGATATAGCTGTACTTGCTCACTCATTTCTATAGCAACTTTGTTCTTGCAACCTTATTTCTTGTCCCCATTACCTGACTGATTCTTATGTTCTTGCATATGGTCACTTAACCTTCTCATTCCTTGATGCACAATCTTTGGAGTCACTCTTGCTTGTATGGGGGTGGATTCATTAGGCCAATGAAAAAACAAAACATGTTTAGCATCCAAGAGTTTTCAAGAAAAAGGAGGAGAGATCCTTTTTTTCCATTTAAATGACCTCTTTGAAAGAAAGTTTGGACCCTTTTTTTTCATGATTATTACCTGTTTTCAATAGGTCCATGTCAAACAAAAGTCTTCTTTGTTTAATTTTTTAATACAAATTATACAGAATTTATGACGAATAAAGAAAAAGGGCAAAGTGAATCAACTGTATCATCTCATTTTTTATTCAGAAGTCTTCTTTGTTGGGCAGAGACACTAAACATGTATTTTTCTTTACTTGGCCTTATTGGCTGATTCTCTATCTAGTGCAGAATATTCCTGCCTTTGAGCCTTTCTCATTACCCTTCTTAGGTACCTCTTATCTTTTTACACCATAACAGAACGCCTTCACCATTTCCCAGATGACTTTTCTGGAACATGTAGAGTACTTCTTTTCTCTACACTGTCCATTCCACGTCTTCTGTTTTTCTCTTTTCACTTGGTACCTTTGTTGTTGGGACCTTTTGGGAAGGGATACCCTACTTTCACAAGTCTGTCTCCCTCCTTTCTTCAGGATGTTCATTTTACCCCTTTCCTTCATTTTGAGGTTTCTGATGGTGTCCCTGATTCCCTTGAATCACAGCTTGAAGCTGCCCATCACCAACCTTCCTGTACCTCCTTATTTTCCATTTGTCCCAGCCTCGCCCTTCCACTTCTATTCCTCACCCTTGTCCTTCTCCTGCTCCACATTCTGTTCAGACTTTCCACTTCTTCCTATTCCACTTCAATCCACACACTGGCATAATTGCTGATGATCATCTGGTCAGTTTAGGACCCATCTATCCTGGTTTGCAGACCTATGGATACATTTCTCAGCCAACAGATGGGTTGTTTGGTTCTTTCCCATGGTCTTTCTCTTCTATCTCAACCTGTTGCCTTCACCATCCATCTAATCCTACTTACCTTCAACATCTGGAGGGAGTGATGTCAGAATTGTTGAAGAAATAAGCCATCGAGAGAACTCATAACCTCTCTCCCACCTCTATATTGTCCCCAAATAGACTGGGAAATGATTCCAAATTATCGACCTTTCCTCTCTCAATAGTCTCTTGGTCATCCCACATTTTTGGATGGAGAATGTTTTCTCTCTGCGTTGATATTTCCAATCCAGCCTGTGGATGATCAAAGTCGATGTGTCGGACACTTTTCTTCACAACTTGATTCATGCAGGGGGATCACATTTTCCAGTTCTGTAGTCTTCCATTTGGAATATCATCAGCCCCTTATTTTTTCAGTTGCATCATGTGGGCCTTTGCTCAACATCTTCATGGTCTTAGTCTGAGATTCCATTTCTGTATGGACAACTTTTCTTCCATTCCCAGGTGGAATTCTCTGATCACACTTCTCTTCATTTTCACAAACCTGCTAAGATTTCCAAGTCCTTCCTCACCCTGACCCAGTATCTCATCCATTTGGGGATTTTCTTCAACTCTCACCTTATTTTTGCCCAACCTTCTCTCATTTACTTATGGGACCTCGAGCATCTGACACCCAAAATTTGTGCCTCACCTTCACATCCTGCATGAGAGGTTCTATCTTTTTGGGGGACTATAGATTCTCTAGAAACCCTTTTCAAAGATGCCTCTTATTCTTTGGATGGGGAGCACCTTTCAATAACTGTCTGACTTCAGGCTCTTGGTCCTTGGAGGAACATTTGCTACATATCAGTGCTTTGAATTGCTTGCTGTCCATTGGATATGCTTCCATTTCCTGTCCCTTCTTGTGGATCATTTATTCATGATCCTCTGGACAATTTCACAGTTGGGTCACACATCAACTGTCAAGGGGGTAGCTATTCCAAGATCCTCTGCTTTTAGATGTCGGATTTCCTTTCGTGGGCCCATTCCAATCAGGTGAGTTTAACTTTCTCAACACAGGCTTGGTCAATTTGACCAACCACGTGACCTCTTTGTACTTGATTAAAGTTTTTATAGATTTAATAGTTCTAACTTTCAATATAGTGTGTATATCTTCACAACATTTGGCAGTCTTTCACATACAAAAAATCGTATTTTTTAGTGAAGTATTTTCAGTAAAATAGAATAGATATTTTTCCATTAATATATTGAGTATTTGTTTTGAATAGTCCATGTGGAAAGTAATTTTCATGTTAAAATTAAAGATATGAGAATTAACCCTAATTTTTTATACTATATATAGTAATGCACTTAATAATTTTTATTTAATTAAATAATGCACCAAAGAATATAGATTAAGAGCATGCAAAAAGTAGACAAATTCACCTACCTCTCAAAATTTTTCTGGCTTTCTAACTATGCTACACATGGCCAGGTGGGTAGGGTGCTTGACTAGCAATCTGTGGGTTGCTGGTTTGAATCCCTGTCACACATGCTTGCCCTTTCAGCCATGGGGGCATTATTATGTGAAGATCAATCCCACTATTCATTAGTTAAATAACGATTTTATAGAGAGTATTTTGCATTTAATTTCATACTTTTCTGAGGGGTGGTGGATAAAATAGGGATGATGATATGCTAAGAAAAAATGTTACATGGGTCATACTAGTGCAAATTCAGAATTTTTTAAAATATTGCCTTGTAGAATTTAAAACTTAAAACTTGTATACTATCAAAATATAGATTATTAGCT